ACCGTTCCAGAACAGGCGATGGAAAAGAGCTATTTTGACTCCAGTCTGACTAAACAGACCATAAATCATCACAATCCATCAGTCAGTGACAAAGAAACATCAAAGCACTGTGTCCTTGTAAACTCATTTGGGGAACAAAAATGTAGTTAATCTTGTTCGTGCCTTTTTTTCTCTCTCTCTCCATCTTTACTCATCTGTTAAATGGAGTCATGTGGGATGTGAGCCAAAGTCATCCATCCAGCCTCTAGGACTCCAGGAAAAGTGAAAACTGTATTTTTAGCTGTCTGCTTGTGCCGTATGAGGTGGAACAGTCAGCAAACGAGTAGCATGCACTCGGATGGGATTAGACATTCAAACGATGTTGGACAGCAGCAACATAACAGCTTCTTGTTTAGCAAGAGCCTGTTTCTGGAAAGGAACCTATTTGTTTGCAATGGTGATCTGTGGTTTCATTGATCAAAGTAATACAGTAAGATACAGACAAGACTGAGAGCTGAATGACACGGAGCTCAAGAAATCATTGAACGTTTCATAGATTAGACAACTCTACAGATCAGACGATTAAACGTGGATTAGGGTGGATTTAGCATAGTGACCGGTAATCTTCAAAGAGGGCAAAGGGAGAACAGATGGTTTATGATACATGCATTTTGTGCAGAAGCATCTGTGTTTTACAGCTGGACTGATTCTTCTCATGCAGACGTTAACCAAGAACAAAAGAAATACAGCCTTTATACATCTATCGATGAACAACATATGTATATTTGACTGCCACATTAGATTTAGTCTTGGACTGCAAACATTTTCTCCTCAAGACCAACATTATATCTCTACAGTGTGAGCAAAAGCCCAGAAAACAGCATGAAGGATCATTCAGCAGCAAATTCACAGACTGCAATTGAAATAAGAAATTCTGTGATTGTTTTTACAAATATTACTTTCTGAAAAATCACGCACAAAAATATGTTAGTTTCTAGTGAGAGTGTTTTGGGACCTAATTTGTTATTATTGTCAGTTTTAAGCAGGAGGAAAGTTGTCAGGATAAATGGAGGTTGGCCCCAAATGCAGATACCCAGAACGACACAGGGAGCAAGAGGTTGCAAGAAAACAAAAATCCTCTATTTTGGAATGACAAAGCAGGTCCACAGAGGCTCAAATCCTTAAGTGGAGCCATCAAAGAATGCACTAAATGGGAGCACGAGAGGACACAAACAAGGCTGACAGGAGACGTTCACTCACAACGGGCCTGCAAACAAAGAAGACAAGACCGGGGCTTAAATACACAGAGGGCAGTGTTCATGGGGGAGACAAGGAGCAGGCGTGTGGGGAGTGTGAGCTGATGGGAGGCAGGTGAGGCAGATTAACTAAGTGGGGAGGAAATAAAATACACTAGAGGGAGATACTAGAAATTAAACTAGTCTGGGTGAAGGACATTGCACTGAGAATACTAAAGATAAATTAACTAATACACCTGAAACTTGACACATTTGGGCTGGGGAGAAAATAAATACCTAAACTAAATATAGGACAAATACCACAACAAACAAGAAACATTAAATATTTAACTCAGGAAACTAAAAAGACAAGAACCAAAATTAGAGGGAATTGAATACTGGGGAGACTTAACAATGAGATGGGACTAACTACACTCAACAAAAATAGAAACGTAAAACCTTTGTTTCTGCTCCGATTTTTCACGAGATGGACTTCGTCGTCGTAGTCTTCCTCCGCTTATCCGGGTCCGCGTCGCGGGGGCAGCATCCCAACTAGGGAGCTCCAGACCTTCCTCTCCCCGGCCACCTCCACCAGCTCCTCCGGCAGGACCCCAAGGCGTTCCCGGACCAGATTGGAGACGTAACCTCTCCAACTTGTCCTGGGTTGACCCGGGGGCCTCCTGCCGGCAGGACATGCCTGAAACACCTCCCCAGGGAGGCGTCCAGAAGGCATCCTGACCAGATGCCCAAACCGCCTCAACTGACTCCTTTATATCCGGAGGAGCAGCGGTTCTACTCCGAGTCCCTCCCGAATTTGTCCGAGCTCCTCACCCTATCTCTAAGGCTGAGCCCGGCCACCCTACAGAGGAAACTCATTTCGGCCGCTTGTATCCGCGGTTTTGTTCTTTCGGTCATTACCCAAAGCTCATGACCATAGGTGAGGATTGGGACGTAGATTGACCGGTAAATTGAGAGCCTGGCTTTCTGGCTCAGCTCCCTCTTCCCCACGACAGATCGGCTCAGCGTCCGCATGACTGCAGACGCCGAACCAATCCGCCTGTCGATCTCCCGATCCCTCCTACCCTCACTCGTGAACAAGACCCCAACATACTTAAACTCCTCCACTTGAGGTAGGACCTCTCCCCCGACCCGGAGTGGGCAAGCCGCCCTTTTCCGGTCGAGAACCATGGTCTCAGATTTGGAGGTGCTGATCCTCATCCCAGCCGCTTCACACTCGGCCGCAAACCTACCCAGCAAGAGCTGAAGTTCAGAGCTGGATGAAGCTAGGAGGACCACATCATCCGCAAAAAGCAGAGACGAGATTCTCCTGCCACCAAACTTGAGACACTCCACACCACAGCTGCGCCTAGAAATTAAAGGTAATGAACAGAACCGGTGACAAAGGGCAGCCTTGGCGGAGTCCAACCCGCAAAGGGAACAGGTCCGACTTACTACCGGCTATGCGGGCCAGACTCATGCTCCTCTGGTAAAGGGACTGAATGGCCCTCAACAGAAAGCCACCCACCCCATACTCCTGGAGCGTTCCCCACAGGGTGCCCCTGGGGACACGGTCATAAGCCTTCTCCAAATCCATAAAACACGTGGATTGATTGGGCAAACTCCCATGCCCCCTCCATTACCCTTGCAAGTGTATAGAGCCGGTCCACAGTTCCACGGCCAGGACGAAAACCACATTGTTCCTCCTCAATCTGAGATTCAACTATCGATCGGACCCTCCTCTCCAGTACCTTGGAGTAGACCTTTCCAGGGAGGCTGAGGAGTATAATCCCCCTATAGTTGGAACACACCCTCAGGTCACCCTTCTTAAAGATGGGGACCACCACCCCGGTCTGCCACTCCACAGGAACTGCCCCCAATGTCAACGCAATTTTGCAGAGACGTTTCAACCATGACAGCCCTAGAACATCCATAGCCTTGAGATACCCAGGACGAACCTCATCCGCCCCCGGGGCTCCACCGCTGTGTTGTTGTTTGACTGTTGTCCTGTGTCCATGTTAATTGCTCCCACCTGCCTCTCGTTTCCCAATCACCCAAGCTCCCAGCCCTCTTGTATTTAAACCCCTTCTGTTCTGTGTCTCGTGTTGGATCATTGTTTCTTTGTCAGCGTGTTCCCGATTAAAATCCCTGTTTTAATGTTCTTGTCTGCCTGCCTGCCTCCTTCTTCACCCGCGTGTGGATCCTCACCTCCGTCTCACTCACCAGCACGCCTGACAGAAACAAAGGTGTTGTGTTTATAGTTTTGTTGAGTGTAAATATGAAGAGACTAGAGGGAAAACTGGAAGGGGCTGGGGACCACAGGACACAGAACATGACAAAAATAATCACCAGAATAGGAAATTAAATAAACTTGTTAGGCAGTAAAGAAAGAAAACAAACTTTTATATAGCACCTTTCAAGATAAAAATCGCAAGTCGCTTCACAAAAACAAAACTAAAAAATTTAAGTATGAAAAAAGATTTCAAAAAATGATTACAAATACGTTTAAAATTAGAAAATAATATTGTGATAAAAACTATGTAAGGAAAGGGAGAAAAAATGAATATGAAAGAGTGAAATCAGTGGATTTCGGGAAAGGGGAATGAGAGCAGAATTAGAAAAGTGTGGTGAAGAAGGTCATGCAAAAGCCAAATTGAACAAGTGACTTTTCAGCTGCTTTTTAAAGACCACTGAGTCCACTGATCTCAGGCTCAGGGGGAGAGAGTTCCAGAGTCCTTACATGTAACATTGTCTCTTCCTGACTAACACTTGTTCAGATTGTTTCTTTTGTTTTTTCATTTTCTTTTGTTTTCTGTTCACTTGCACCTTTGGTCCAACACTTGTGAATAATGACAGTTGTGGCCCATGATCAGATGCAAAAGAATGCCAGCCAAGCTAAGATGCATTTTCTTGTATGTCACTTGGGGTCCAGGATAAATTATCACTGCTTTGTGATTAGATGCAATGTTGAGATTCATTTATTTCCATTCAGCTGCATGATGGAGAACAAAGCATATCAGCTGTAAAGTAACAAACTCCTCCAAGTCATTAAAACACAATTATGTTTTAGTGAACAACATACAGAGGACACCTAGTGCAGGTTATTTGAAGCAAGTTTCTGTGAAATGGGAAAAGGTAAGATCTTACACACTAAAAACAGTTGGGTTAAAAATGACCCAATTTGGGCTGTTTTTTAACCCAGCCGCTGGAGCAATATTGCACCAGCCCAGCAGTAGTTAATTTAACCCAGCAAGATGGGTTCCTCCATTTTAACCCAGCAGATGAGTTAAATATTCCACCCAAATTCTGGGTCAAAATAGCCACAAATCTGGGTAAATTCAACCACACATACGTGTTATTTACTCTATCTAAATGCTGGGTCAAATTAACCACTATTTTGGGTTGTTTCAACTAAATATGTGTTATTTACTCTACCTAAATGCTGGGTCAAATTAATTAAACTATGGGTTGTTTAAACAACATAATGTTCAGTAATCAATCCAAATGTTTGGTCAATACGCCAAATTATTTCTAACTCATTACATACAGTGCATTTTGGAAGACAGAAAATTGCACCTCTCCATACTCAACTATCAAAACATACATGCTAGACTTGGTCACGTAAAGCATATACAATACAATAAAACTTCAACAATACTGAAATCTTTACAAGGCACTGCCTTGAAATTTATTCATATAAATGTAAACAATATAAAAGTTCTAATCACTTCACATCAAGAACTGCAACAATGTACACTGAAATACATGTAACTCAAGTGTTAAACAACATTTAAATGGTCAAGAGTACATTTTACAAATACCTATTTGCTTCTTTTGCTAGCACGTATTCTACTCTGCAGAAACTTTACTAGTTTCGACTCCCCTCCTGGGATTTCATAGACGGTGGTGTAGCGTTATGCAGCGTTTGCAGGAATTTCCAGACGTGTTCACACTGCCTCGGGTATTCAATGTCTAAAATAAAGAATGCCTTGAAGCAGGCATCGACGGCCTGAAGCAGTGTGTCATGTTCCACAGCCTGACCAGCAATGATGACAAAGGCCTGAGACACATGCTGCGTATCATTTCCCAATGTCAGCACATAGGGGAATGGTCTTGTGGCCTTGGCCTCGTGGAGGTATTCCACCATGTTAGTTCCAGGCTAAAAAACAGAGAAAGAAAGCATAACAAAAAACAGATGAGAAGGAATGCGTGAGTAAGGAACAAATGTCTACCAACGTCAACTGGGTGACAGTGGCACAGGAGTTAAGTGCTTGCCCCGTAATCGAAAGGTTGCGTGTTTAAGCCCCGCTCAGTTTATCGCTGTCATTGTGTCCTTGGGCAAGACACTTAACAACCCCCCCCCCCCCCCCCTCACTCTCTGAAACAGGCTAACAAATGGAGACAAGATGGAAAAAATATTGGTTGTTAATATCGGCCCGGTTTTATTTATCGAACCGATATCGATATGTAAAAAAAAATGACTACCTTCGGCCGATACCGATATTCATCCCGTTTAATCCGGAGAAAAATCTGGATTCTAATGCGGTTCTGACACAGAGGAAACTTTAAATGTTTATAATTCTACTTCTAATGGACCAAAACCATACAGCAAGGTCTGAATGGATTAAAACACAAAAGTGTTAACATATAAATATGTTAACTTCTGAGTCAGTATGGTGTGGCAACGAGGCGATCATTCAGTGGCACTGCAGCCTTGTTTTAAAAGCATAAGATGTTTTTAAAGTGACCAACACAAGCTTGTAGATGACTTGACAATATTTGGAGGTATAGAATAACAAATTTGGATATGCGTGCGTGTGTGTGTGTGTGCGCGCGCGTGCGTGTGCGTCTGCGCACACACATTCATGAGCCAAAGAATAACAGGTATATGTTAATGAAAAGATAAAAGTTTGCCTTTAGATGTACTGGAAGACTTACAGGTTTATGGTCGATGAAGGCCAAGTTACATTCTTCAATGGTGTGGCGAACCATTATAGCACTGTGGCCACGGCCGAGTTTGTAAGCAGTTGGAGGGAGCAAGCATGGCAACTGCCTCAGGCTGAGTTCACCAATGGCATCTGTTGAAGACAATATAGGTGAGAATATAATGTGGAATGGCATACATGTGATTTGTCATTTGGTATCCAAATAACATGAAACCTATGGTAACAGTTACATGCAGCCAATTCCCACCCTGTGGATGGTTATAGTGACATGTCTGTCGCGAACAAAATGGCTCTCAGAGCCAGCTCGTTGATGTGACCGATAGGAGCCGACTCCCTCCTGCAGGAGCCAGAGAGAATGACACAGACTGTACCTGCAGGCTCTAGAGCCGCTAAAAGACTGCAAAATGTGCGCATGTGGTACGCGCGCACCAACACGCACCATACCTCTGATTGCTGTGAGACAAGGAGGAAGGGGGTGGTGAGGTTGTGGCGCACCTCCGACCACTCTGAAAGCAGGGAGAGGGATGGCACGCACAAATTGCCAGGGACAACTACTACACTGAACAAAAATATAAATGCAACACTTCTGTTTATGCTCCCATTTTTCATGAGCCGAACTCAAACATCTGAAACCTTATCTACATACACAAAATACCCATGACTCTCAAATACTGTTCTGAAATATGTCTGCGTGTGTTAGTGAGCACTTTTCCTTTAACAAGATAATCCATCCCACCTCACAGGTGTGGCATATCAAGGGGCTAACTAGACATTATGAATAATGTGCAGGTGTGCCTTAGACTGGGATTGGGATTATCTTGTTAAAGGAAAAGTGCCCACTAACACACATGTGGACAGATTTCAGAACAATATTTGAAAGTCATGGGTATTTTGTGTTTGTAGATAAAATTCTAGGTGTTTGAGTTCAACTCATGAAAAATGAGAGCAAAAACAGAAGTGTCGCGTTTATATTTTTGTTCAGTATACATTAAAATGATAGGACCAGTAAACATTGGTGGAGACATATCTGTAAGAGACGAGCACTGCACAGTTTCCCCTACAATGGCTCAGATGTGGTGCAGCGCCACATGCGCTATTACAGAAAGTCCATCACAGCCCAGGTGAGTAATGTGCCCATCAGTTAGACTAGGGGTCTTGTTGCAGGCTTTCGACACCAGTTGGACTAAAATAGCCTAGTGAGGGAGACCAGCCTCATTGGGGAAACCTTACATTGACACAAACCATATTGACAATTGCAAAGATGGCAAGCAAGAATATATTACCTTGTGTTAACCCATCCAGGGACGAGATCAGCTTTCCCTCCCGTCTTGACAGGTACAGGATTTTCTCCGCATAAATGGGTAGCCAAGTTTCAAACAACTTTGATGAAGCATCCCCATGCAGGATAAGAAAGTCCTGTGCAATGTACAAAATAGGAAACCTTTTTTAAACAAATTCAATGTGGCATACTAATAAAAAAAACAATCATCGTCATCACATGTTAATTATTATTTCTCTAAACGTACCATGCCTTTGCTCATTAGGTGAGGGAATTCTTGGAGGATCTGGTAGATGGTCCAATTGTTGTCCCTAATGCACTTGGCCCTGTAGACTGCAGTGTCTTGCATGTAGTCCTGTACCTGACTGAGGGGCTGGCAATTGTTTCTTCACCATTCTTTAAGCTGTGATGCGCGCTCGTCAGATATGGTACACTGTTAAAAAAAACACAAGAATTTGATTCTGACATGCAAACACATACATGATGAAAAATTTTGAACACGTAGATTCCAGTTATTGGGTGAACTTTTTAAAGGGGTCATCACCTGAAATGTTTACCTTTCTATGTTAAAACATGTATATAATGGTTTGATAATGATTGTACACTGGCCTAGAAGCCAATATTTAAAAGAGATTATATATAATCTGAATATTTGTGCTGACTATCCACAACAGAATGATAGTAAAAGTACAAGTAACATTTTTAGATCTATTTGTGTCTCCCCCCCCCCCCCCCCCCCCCAACTATTATCAACATCTCATTCATTGAAAACATTTCCATACTGTTTTCAAAATACTTTATTTTTTCTTCTTAATTTCAAATCCCTTATATAATATATGTAGGGAAGACGTGCCTAAAATGATTTAGCTTGAATGTATCTGAAACAACAACCGCAGCATCTAGTCTGAGTCAGAATCTTCTTTGGGTTTAGGATGAACCTGTCTAATTACTGGGAAACTTGTTTTTGACCCAACACTTGAACTCAACTCACCCCCCAAAAAAGAACACAAGCCTCGGGAAACATCAGTTTAGGCTGAACGTGAAAGGAGAAAACCCTGCAAAAGTTCTTCATAGAATACTGTAGTATTTGGAGAGGATTTTGTTTGACTTACGAACTTCAAGCTCCAACCGCTGTGAGATGTTGAAGCAGCAGTAGGAGCAGCACAGCGATACCGGCTACCGCAGTGTTTTGCCTAGCTATCTCCGTGACTGTATTTGATCAAAAGACGACTCATGACCCACTAACAAAGATGGTTTGTGAACAGGATGAACACTCCTCCTTTTTCTGAAACCGATTCTTATAGAGAGCGACTGAAACCCGACCAAAGACTCACGTGAACGTTATATTTGGCTTCATAAACGGCAGTTTTCGCCGAAAAGCGTCAAATTTGCAAGTGTGAGATGAATGTATTTTAAACCCACGTCAATACTAACCAAATTTAAGACTTTAATAAGTCGATTTAAGACATTTTAAATACTTTAAGCGTCTTAATTTTCCTTTCATCTCCTTTACCCAGCCGGGAGCTAGCTGGGAGCAATTTCCCGCTCCTCCCCCACACCCCACGACTGTTTCATTAGCCACAGACTACTCATTAGTTCAAATGCAAAGTACAGAAGTTCCACTGGATTTTTTAATGTAATAAAGTAATCAGAATAGCAGTTTATGAACGACACAGATAAGCTACTGACACTAGAAAAGGCTAAAGACAACCGCTAAATGGCTAGCTAGCTACATTGTTACCCAAACCAACCAACAGAGCCTCAACAACATTCAGATACCAACAGGTAACGCGGCACAGACGTGACGGGAATCAGATAGTAAACACAAACAATACAAACCTCTTATTGTTGATTTACCTCGCAACGAGGATGTTTTCCCCCACTCAGATCGAAGACAAAATGGATCCTGGCGTTGCGTTGTGGAGGATGACTGTAGATGTAATGATGTTCAAACCGGTTCAAACAAGTACAACAACCCAGGTGCTGGGTCAAGTTGCACTAAAATAACCCAAATCTCATTCAAATAACCCAAAATGGGTTACACATTTCATAACCCAGCAGTTGAGTAGATTAAATAACCCAACTGTTGCACAAAAATAACCCAAATCTCATTCAAATAACCCAAAATGGGTTACACATTTCATAACCCAGCAGTTGAGTAGATTAAATAACCCAGCAGTTTTTAGAGAGTACCTGTTGTTGAAAGCCTTTTAATTTGGAGAAATAAGCATTAATTTAACTGGTTTAATAAACACTAATCTAAATATGATTAGGTTCAGATTATTTATGCCTTTAGACATTTCTAACAAGATAAATAAATTAGCTCATTCAGACTTTATTATACTTTTATACCATCACAAGTTTTGCATTACACGCTTGTTGCAAATATCCAATGGTGATTTGAAGCAGGAAATAAGCTTCGGAGTTTAACAGTGTGAAATCTGTCTGGGGTTTTGCAGCAGTTGTGCTGTAATAACCTGGAATGTGAAATTTGTGGTAATGTAAAAATCATAACTTAGCATAAGTGTTACAAAATGCTCGAGTTTGAACAAGTTTTAGGACAGCACTTGCATATTTCTGTTTGATCAGGATGAAGTTCAGGACCCTTCAAGTAAACTTTCTTTCAAGTCAGGATTTTTGAAATCTTCTAGGTTCTCAAGGACAGAAGATGTTGCCTTGCTGTTTGGACTTTGAGGCTCTTCTGCCTGAGAGAAGAAGGGTAAGTGTGTTGATTCAGGGACCAAAACGTTTTAGTGGTTCAAAGCTAAACCACAGGAAACGTGTGAGATTTCTACCGACTGCATGGCATATTTAATCACTTCTCCTCCTGCATGACTCACGATCCTGCTCTTTCACGGAAGATGAATAAAGTTTATTTTTTCACTGACATTTCAGAATTCTGCCTAGCAGTTTTCTGCGGGAGATGCGCTGTCAGTAATATAAATAAATAAATAAATTAATTAATTAATTAATAATTAATTCCGGGGTTCCCCTCGGATCAGCCTTTCAGATCTGCGTCCCACTAGCGCTGAGTGACTGGCAGTGATCTCTATCAGCTCCCAGATAGCGGCGCTCCTTTCAGTGCTTCATGCTTAGTGTGTGGGAGGGACTAAAAGGAAAGCCACGGCGTCGTGCAGGGTGGGGGGGTTGGAGACTGGATGCATTCAGCAAGGATTTTCTTTCCTTATCTCCGAACGCGTTGCGTGGTCTCATCCGCCCTCGTGCTGCGGAAAGCAGTCAGAAGGGATGAAGAAGTAGCACGGTGAGTTTGTTTGTTTGTTTTTGTCTGTGCAGGGTGAGGAGGTATTCTGTCAGGGATTAGGAAAAGAAATAAATACAAGCGGGTTGTGCACGACTGGTCCACCCTGATGCAGAGCAGTTTAAGCTCCATCCGCTGCTGGATTTACGGAAAGTGCAAGAGCATTCCGACACATTTACCATCCCCTCGTGTTATCTGGAGCTGGATCTGCTGGAAGGGATTTGGTAGCATATTTACAATGATTGCCGATGATTAATTTAAACCCAGTTTGAATAAATATAAAGCTTGGCATTGGTTAGAACGTGAAGTGTTTCCTAATTGGATACGGAAGTATTTAGCTAATCACTGACCTCTATAAGCGCATTTGACAGAAAGCATCCGCGGATTCTGGTCAAAGTCTACTCAGCGCAACTTTTCTGCACAGAAGCACGTTTTTGCGCTTTGCTCCCAAAATAACAGCTTTGACACGCTTTCCAGGCAGAGTAATCAGATTAGGAGGCAACATTTAACCCCGAGCTGTTGTGTGCTTCCCTGTTAGGGATGCTGGCGGGTGAAAACAGCGTGGGAAGATCCTCCGGCGGTGAAATGGCTTCTCCAGAGCAGCTTCCCGCAGATGGTGGGGGCAAAGAGCCCGAAAACACCAACCTCCCGGACCGGGTTTCTCCTGCTCTTCGTCTACACTCCATCCGTAACTCTGCTGGATCAACAGGAGAGGCGTTCCACGAGGAGGGCGGCGGTGTTCCGGTCCGCAGCAGCCTTGGCCAGTGTCTTTCAGCACCAAGGACAGCGCCGCGCCGGGCTGCCACGGAGAAAATCCGGGTGTGTTGCGATGAGGAATTAGAGACCTCTTTCACCTTTGTTGATGAGAATGTTAACCTGCGGATGGCCAGCCCAGACATCAGCTGCAAAAGTACTCTAAGGCCTGTGCACAACGGCGAGCCCTGCACCGAGACTTTACCGGAGCTTTCCTTTATGTCCGAGGACGACCTCTCCTTCGGTGAGAGCTCCGGGACCTCAGTGGACTACGGCTTTATCAGCGCAGTCACGTTCCTGGTGACTGGGATCTCCTTGGTAATCATCTCCTACGCCGTGCCTCGGGACGTGATGGTGGACCGGGACAGTGTGTCGGCACGGGAGATGGAGAGGCTAGAGATGGAGAGCGCCCGGATAGGTGCGCACCTGGACCGCTGCGTGATCGCGGGACTCTGCTTGCTCACGCTGGGCGGCGTGGTGCTCTCCACGCTGCTCATGATCTCCATGTGGAAGGGAGAAATGTACAGGAGGAAGCTGTTGGCTTACTCCAAACGCTCAGCCAAACTGTACGGTTCCATCAGCCTGAAAACGAGGTCAAGTCCCAGCCACTCCTCTGCGCACCTGTCCATAGAAGAGGAAACGGTGGACACTTTGACTTAAGCTTAAACATATAATGAAACAAGCCATTCAGACACACTTTACAAATATTAAAATTGTTCATCTTAATCATGATTTTGTTGAAAGGGGCGTGAAAGAATGCCATCACATCAGAATTTCAGAATAAAACAACATGTCAAATGATTTAGATCTCATTAAAATGATCAGAGAGTGACTAAAGACACACCGAATCATATATTTTAACCTAATAGTTTTATTATAAAAGTAATTTGTTTATTCATGTGAATCAAAGCCACTAAACTGCACAGAAGAATGGGACAAGCCTGTCCCTGTGGCAAGTGAGTAAGAGTTAGCAGTGCTGTAGCTGTCCCTGTCTGCTGGGGACTCAGCTCAGTGGTCCACGTGGTAATATCCAGTGACAGTTCCTCTCTGGTGCAGTGCTGAGGTAAGCTTGCTAGCCTGCCCTGATGCATCTGAGCCAAACCTCTCTGTGCAGCAGGAGTCTCAGTTCTCCATCTGAACAGCAGCATATATTTGGAGTCAGACCTTGAAACGTGATCCTGGAAAATCACAAACAGAGTGTCTGCAACTGTTCCAGCTTGGTCAGCATTTCCGTATCAGCTTGCCTTTTCTTTCTCCATCCACCAGTTGAAGATGTGTTTAGGCATAACTAATCACACATGAAAGAGTTGCCCTACTTTCAAAACCTTAAGCTGCCTTGACTTCAAAGAGCCAATTACCTCTCTAATGTGGGAAATCACTCTTTTAAAAGCTATAATCGGTCTTGTTACAGTGATTTGTTCATCAAATGTTTGCAGATTAACACATAAGAGATGTGTCAAACACCATCTTGCTAAAAGAAAAAAAAACAGTTACCACCCCAAAATGGCCCACTTCACTGTCCCCTCTCTCTCCTCCTCATGGCTCTAAGCAGAGAGCTAATTCTGCACAATTCTCCTGAAAGACAAAGCCTTCTTTTGTGCGGGCAACCCAGCAAGGCTCATAAATCATGCATGAACTCTTTCTATTTGCAGAAATTAATTTTAACAGCCAAATGGTGCATTCTTGAAAAAAAGTATTAGTGATTTCTTTGCAATGTCACTGTACCAATTGGTTTCTTTTGTGATTTGCTGGCCTGTGTGACCCTGATCAAAACTCACATTCAAAACGACACGAGTCAGCCTCCGACAACGAGACATGTGGGTTGATTACTTTATAGCAAATGGCTCGAGGTTGTGCTGTTGCTGTGCCTTCAGTGGTTGGCTTTGTGAGGACTCACTGCATCTAGGTGCATTTTCAGCAGTCAATGCAGTGACGGGAATAAAATTTGTGTTTTAGGAAAAAATATCTGAGGAAATTTGGGTGAGAGCCTGCAGGGTGAGGTAATCCCATTTTGTGTCTTTTTATGTTCTGTTTTTAGGACAACAGAGCTGACAAAATGTGTGTGCAATCCTGAAAAATTACATTGATAGTTCAGAAAGGTCATGCAATGCCAAATGGATTCCAAATTATTACGGGAAAGGGAATAAAATGAATGACTGAGTGAGGTAATGTTGTCCTTTTTGTCCTCGTGGAATTGAATGTTTCATTTTGTAGCAGATCATGATGTTTTTGGCTGTGAACATGAAACAATCAGCTCCAGGTTGTTGAAAATTTAGTTTTTGTTGTTCTTCCTCAAATGGATAATTTGACTGTTTAACACAGACTCATGCGGAAAGAGCCTTGGTTTGAAGAAACAGAGAGTAGATCTGACCAAACCCATGAGCTACTAACTACATAGAGCTCACCTTATATCTTGTATTTACAGGTGCTACAAATTTCACACTTTATGGTTTTTCCAGCACAATTATAAGGAGTAAGGTTATATAAAAGGTCTTGCTGCCAGTTTTTGCTGCAAATTACCACAGAATTCTAAATAAATGAGACTAAAAGGAAAATATGGAGGTTGAAATGTTTTAGTGGGGCATTTGCAATGGGCCCTTTGACATCTTTGATTACAGAAGGTGTTTTTTTCCACTAAGACAACAGAAACACTGGCCTCGGTGTAACTAGCAGTCCGTTCATCTGCCAGGTTAGAACGAATATCCTGTTCTCCAGACTGAGCTAATCCCAACATGTTTGTTGTTTAAATCCTTGGGCACAGGACCTGATTCGGCCCAAAAAAGACAGATAGATGTACTTTATTAATCCCAGGCTGGGAAATTGCAGTTTCAGTCCTTCTAAGAACAATCCTAACACTGAATGAAAATGTTGAGCCCTCAAATGAAACTCCATATAACAACCCAAAGGTTTGTAGTTTGTATCTGAGGCATTGCCTGTGACACACAAAGGATCGTGAAGGCCCGAGGGGAGCCATGAACAGACATCAGACCGCCTCATCTGCAGAATGTAAAGCACTGAGCTGTAGATGCATTACCCCCCCCCCCCCCCCCCACACACACACACACACACACACACACACCACTACCCCCTTTGCTGGTACTGCGACTCGCAGCCAGCACCAGATCCCCCCACACAGATAACTGAACGTGTTTCAAGGATTTAAATCGGGGATTTGTTTGAAGCGACAGCATTTTACATGTCAAGCGCAAGCAGAGGTTTCATACATAAGCCCTTCATCTTTCCACAGTGCACAGCTAAAACGCCCTTATTGATATTTGCTGGCTTCTCTGTAAGTCGATGCCTTCAGGTGAGGCCGAGGAACAGCCAAACTGCTGCCATCAGCTCCTTTCTAAGCTGTGTCACTACCCTGTTGTTACTGAGGCTCCATATGTGTGCACATTTTAGTCAGATATATGAACACAAAACCTTTGTTTTGGTTGTTGATCCATATTCTCACTTTCCCCGTTTTAATTTAATTATCATTTTAAACTCAAACAAACTGAACAACTGGATAAAAAAAAGCTTGTTATTTTCCTGGAGCCTCTACTGAAATAAAAAAATAACACTCAAAAAATAGCTATTCTGCACTGAATACATTGACAAAATAATGGAGTGTCAAAGGTTGTTTGAGATCCACTGCAACGGATCAAATGTACTGAAGGTCATTTCTGCCCCATAAATATATTTTACAAAGACTGCAACAGAAACGATTCCTCATAGATCAAATTCAGCAACTGCCTCTTCTCCCTTTTAACATCGCTTTTCACTTCATTGATTTGAATTGTTTTTTAGTTAATCAAAAAGTCAGATGAACATCTTCTTGAGGTTCTGAAAACAAACAGCTAAGATGTCTGTGGGTTTATTTGTTTTTTAAAACAGAACTCATTTAAATAGATTTGTGAGGAAACTGGACCTTGCTTTTGGTGTTTCTGTACATTGTGTGGCCGGGGATGTGACTTCATTCCTAGATGCAGCCTCTGCTGCCTTCCCCATGCAGGGTGTTTTTAGACATTATGCATAGAGGATTTTTAAGAAGCACATTGTCCACAAAGCTCATGGCTCCAGATGCACTTAGCTGGGCTACAAACACTTCTGTTCAGCCTTTTCCAAATTCCTGAACCATGCCATCACTTTGCCTTTACTTCAAAGCTCATGAAGCTTTAGTTTATCCTTTAAGATTCAGCTTTGAAACAACATTCCCTGATTTCAACTCTCCTCACTTGACGTTCTCTTTTATTGTATCATACTGCATTTCAGCACTTTTCACTGCTGCATAGCGACACTTGAAAAAGCAAAAAGCAGCATTTGTGCAAGAAGCTCCTCGTTTACAGGTCAGCCACACTCTGTTTCATCTCTCAGCTGCTACCCAGGCCTTTCATAAGCAGCTACAAGAAGTCTGCAGAGCCATTTCATGTATCGTGTTTGGCCCTTAAATTCACTTTTGCAGACGGATGGACTATTGCTGCTTTGGCTGCTATGGTGCACGCGAGAGGAATTTAGGCGATCAGTTAGATCAATCACACAGCAAAACCACTCAGTCGCTGTGGGGAGACAATGCACGTTTCCTCTCTTCTCCTCACCCTTTATGATCTACTGCATCTGATGTTTTAATAGCCTGTACTCAGTGACAGAGGCTGCGCCACCTTGTAGAGCAGCTGCTTTAATAATAATGCTACAACATAATCATCAATGAGCTAACCCCCCAGCTGAACAAATGTGAGTAATGTTGATGCATTGCTCAACAAATCACAGGCTCTGTTCACCTCTCCATCACCTCGTTGTTTAGAGCCCTCTGTTATAAATCACACTGACCTGCTGGACTCTCCTGATTTAATTTGGATCAAATTGCAAATGCGGTAATTTGTCACGCAAGGCCTCCCACATAGGCTTGCTTCTCCCATTATGCCTTTACATTTACCTCTAATTATAGTGATTGCTTGCAAGTTTGCAGCAGTCAACGCTCTAGGTATGTTAGAATGTGACCTTTAGAAAGAGAATTCAGAGCCAAGATGGGGTCAGTTCATCCCCTCAAACAGACAAACACACTGATCTAAAATGTGCTGCAGTGGATGTTTGTGTGCTTTCCATTTTCTTTTTTGAGGATGTTAGCAGATCAGTGATCACCCAGTAGCTATGTTTACTTGTGTTTTACCCAGTTTATTGCTTCTGTGATTCAAGATGGGAAATCAGAGATGATCGCATGAGATACGATTAGAAAAAACAGGAAAGGATACATTGAGGTTATATAATAAGATATAATGAAATAAGATCAGATCAAATGAAATAAGATTTCATACAATGACGAGATGAGAATAGGTGACACAAGAAACTATGGGGACACCTTGAACCCTAAGAACCCTAAGAAGGTGCTATACAAATACAGGCTGGTGAGATCAGCTCAGGAGCAGGATGAGATTAATTTTCACCATTACAACGTTCTGATGTTGTCTCCTCTTAAAATTTACTCCTGCCAGTTTTATCACATGTTAAAGGGTCTCCTTGTGGTGAATACTGCAAAAAGGGATTGGTGCAGCTGCTCAGGATCTCAGTGCTACAGCAGTGGACGGTGGAGAGAATGGTAAAGGGCACATAAACAGAAAAAGCATCCTCTGCAGCACTTTGCTGGGGAGATCCTCAGCATTGCGATGTATACACCACACAATGTGCAAATGCTTATCCCCGCTCATGTGACTGACAGCTGTACATTATGCAAAGGGATAATGCTGAGTGGCGCTCAAGTAAAATTGCATGGGACTCTATGTTACGGGAAGTAGGTTTAGCAAAAAGTATATATATATATATATATATATATATATATATATATATATATATACATATATATATATATACATATATACATATATACCGTAATTTCTGGAGTATAGAGCGCACCTCAATATAGGCCGCACAAAAAAAAGTTTTCTACACACACACACCGCACTCAAATACAAGCCGCGGCGCAGCAGTCACATGCAGGTCTCCGGCGCACAGCGCAGGTATGGCCATAACATAAGATAATTAGACAGAAAGATGCTACACTGAGGTTTTTCATAGTTGTTTTATTTCAGCAAAATGAATTTTAAATACGGGTGAGCACTGATAGCATTCATATTTCTGGATGTTATAAAATAAAAACAGAACTGACACGTTATTACCGGTAATCTGCATGCATGCTTAGAAGAAAAGAGCAGCGCTGACACAGCATTAATAAGCCCTGGATGATCAGAAAATAAAAACTGCACACAAAGCATGCCTGGTTAGTAAATAAAACACACTTGCCTACCAGAAGAAGTCATTCGCTCTCATCTTCCTCTTGCGCACTAAAGCCATTAAAGTCCTCTTCTTCAGTGTCGGAGGTGAACAGCCTCAGAAGAGCGTCACATACCTTTTCTTAGGCGATGTCAGTGTCGCTGTCCGTGTTGCTGTCATCATCCCCGGGTGAAGCTGGCTTGAATGAGTTCTTCCCGCTGCCGTTTCCAGCGCCGAACCATGGATTCATTCATGCCAAGCTTACGTGTGGCAGCACTGTTTCCCTCCTTTACTGCCAGATCGATGGCCTTCAACTTAAATGCGGCAACATGAACTCATACGTGTAGTTACCATGATGAGGGGGTATATATATATATATATATATATATATATATATATATATATATATATCTATATATATATATACATATATATAGCCTACATTATATCACAATAAATGGTAAGACTATCTCTTTTATTGACTTGTAAAAAATCATACATAATTTATGAGAATGAGATTGAGATTTTCAGACATTATAGGTTATGTGTAAAATGAGTATTTCACACAAAGCTAAGATGACTGACCAGTATTCAGTATGTAGCCACATCTCCCTAAATTTTGATGTAATATGAGAATCAAGCTTTCTCTAATGTCTGTGAAGCATCCATTGGCTTGTAGTCATCCTCATAAAATATACGTTGCGGTGAACATAAAGTTGAAAAGAAAAGGAAAATGCTAATAATTAATTGTTTGCTTACTTCAGATGTTTATTTTTTGGTTTGTGAGTTTTAACTCCAACAGAATTAGCATCCACCTTCAGAACCAAGCCAGACTGGTGTTTACTGGATAGCATGTATATGTTTGCTGTTTCAGTATCTGCAGTTTGCCCTCACAATGAAGATGAGAACTTGGCTATTTTTAGATCAGCAACCCAGAAAGAAAGAGAACGGATGGTGGACAGTCATCAGTAGAGTTGGGTCTGAAGCCCTGACTGAATGCAGGTGCTGCAGAGCTGATAGGTCTTCTATTTCCAGTGTTTTGTTACCAAAGCCCTTCAGCCTGCAGAAAGAAGATACTTGGAGGAAAGAGGCTGCAGGATGTGGAGAAAAAGTATGATGATGATGATGACAGGAACATGG